TAGAGTCATCCAATTTGGTGCAAAGTAAATTAACTCAAAGTGCTAAACGTTAGATCGCGTTAAAGTTTACCGAACTCCCACTTGCCATTCTGATGTGAAAACCCCAAGAAAACAATCATGTAGCCAATCGAAGAATTAAGGACAATATCTTGAAAAACGAGGAAGGTTTACAAAAAATACAAATGTCATACTGTTGATACTATTTCCCCATATATTTAGCACGTGCCTATCATTTACATTTTTTTTCTGAGTTTATCTTCCCATTAGTCTTAGATCATAGATAACGTGACTTTGCAACAAGCTTTGGAGTTTCACATACTTACTTTTTCCTTTTTAAAGAAATTTATTTCGAGTGGTTTTTTGTATGTGAGATTTACGTTTATTTTTACAAACCTACATAAATTCTCATAATCCCAAAGGTAAGGCACAAATGACAGAGCAATATAAACTTCTTCGGCACAAAAATGTTCTGTAATAATAAAAAAACGTGGCAGGCATCGAGTTTTGTTGGAAATTTCAACTACTTTTCTAGTAAAAACATAAGTCAGAGAGAAAGAAAAGAAAAAAGTATGCTCTTTATTATATTATATTGATTACTACACAATATCCATTTTTTTTCTTTAAATCTAGATTTCTGACTTATACACTATGAATATCTATCACAAAAAGTAAAAAAAGTTATATTTATTTTTTTATTTTCAATCGTGACTATTCGATACACAATAGAAGAACTTAAGGTGTGCAAACGCCAGCGCCCACTTGGGGTTTGATGAATTATTGAAGGAACACTACAAAAGAGACACTGATTAATAACTACACCGTCCTTCTCGAGCCGGAGTCACATAACATCATTGTAGGTAACCTACCTAAATGATACCCAAAAGAAAATATTAGAAGACTATGACGTCGAAAAACAAGATGGAGTAACGATATCCTTCCATCACATGACAAGGTCAGAGTGTATGTGAAATTGTTTATTTGTAAATGTACCCACGAGACAGGAGCAAAATCGTAGTGCAGGGCAACGTTCTTTTTTAAAAAAAAAGAGTTGCAGAAGACCGAACTAAGTGGAAGGAGTTGGAGGAGGCTTTTGCCAAAAGTCAAGTCAAATTGCGATCTATGTTATGTAGAAAAACATGTAAAATTGCTTGTAGTTCGGAATAAAAAAGGCATTATTAAGTACACAAGCAAAGAATCGAGACAAATAAGAAGTCATATTTTTTTTAAGACAAATTGCTTATCAGGCTTTAAATAATAATACAGATTACTAAATATGGATCGTAAAATCTTCCCAGTGAATACTGAACAATACCTCATAACGTTACATTGTAAGGCAATGATTCAATTTGGTCGCTTTGTACTCATACGGCTGTCGTCATACCATCCGTAGGTCGCGAAGGGCAGGCGATCAAATTAGATATCTAATTCCATAAGGTGACAATGTTTACGTATGTAGTCTAGGTACTTTGGTCAATATTTTTTTTTATCTATAGGTACAAAGTATGTAGTTTTGTTTTTATGTTTACTTGGCTTGTTTTAGTACTAAGGTAAGCTTCATGTTAGTCTCGTAGTTTTGTTTTTTTTTATCTATACTAAGATTATAAAGTTGCCGTGTTTGTTTGTTTCTTTGTTTGAACGCGCTTATCTCGGAAACTACTGGTTCGAATTGAACAATTGTTTTTGCCTTTGTTAATATATTTATTGAGGAAAGCAGGCGAAGTTAGCTTGTTCTATATAAATATGTAATGCGAAGTCGAAGTTCATTCAATTCCTGGTTTCGTCAAATTAATATTACTTGCTCCTGTATTTTATTTACGGCCTTATTGCTGTTGGTCAACTGCCAACAGTAACGGCAACATAGCTAATTTGGAGTATTTGCTTCCAATATGAAAGCGATTAGCGTTATAATAAACTATACTTGAGATATTTCTGACTATATTCATAATTCGTACCAAAAATAAATAGATGAAAATAAGTCTTATACTCATCTAGTGGACGCTTGATTCAAATATTTTTCAACAAATAATTAAATTCTTGGAGGAAAGTGAATCTTAATACTCTTGAAATACGATCACTTTGACAATCAATCATTGAAATGAATTACTGAACATTTATTTTTAAGAAACCCCTGATTTATGAAATATCTTAAAAATAATTTTATTTATATAAAAACGTTGAAATATATTATATTTCAAGGACAAACGTCATAAAAGATGCTTCTGTTTTGTTTTGGTGCGTGTGTGAGGTCAAACCCTTTTCTCGACTCCAAAATTCTCGAATCCCTTCTTTCTTAATGACATTTGACCACCTACTGAAGTTGTTGCGATCAGTTGAGATATGTCAGTGGCCGGATTACCTAATGGTACTGTTATATCTTAAAATACACGCGAATCTATATAAAATATTATTGATGACCACGCTGGTCCTTACACGTGGAATCGTCCATTGCAATGTCAGCATTTCCGCCAAATTGCGACTCGACGTTCAAATCCACACCGACTTTTGACTTAAGAACAGTCGTGACTGGATTTGAACGTCGTCACGGATACAAACTTTCTATTGTAATTTTCCTAAAAGTTAATTAAAGGTCATTACAGTATTTTATTTAATTTGTTTTTTTTTAAACCGATCTCAGACCCACCCCGTAACAGTACGCAATCATCACCGCTCATGGACTCTCGTCACCGCGACCTCGGCCCAGAGTAGGAGAAGGAACATGGGGATTTTTAGTCAGTATGAGTCTGACACTCCCTCCCGCCCGGCCCTGGGCGAAAGAAGTAATATGATGATTTTCCCTTCACAAAAAAACCGCCCATGAACGCTCGTAATAACAAAAGAGTTAGTACAAGTGCTGTCCTCTTTTCTGGTATCAGGGGTTTAAGGAAGATTTTTCTGATGCTTTCGGTGGCGATGGACAACGTACATAGATTGTTTATTCAACAGTGTTACCAGTTCTCACTCTCTCTATATTCACTAAAAAGTTTGGGGTATAAATCAGCACTAGTGAGTATATACAAAAATATATATTTTTGTATGTAAGGTAATGCACATGTTAACTAGACTAACTAGAGTATTAACGTGACTACCAGTAGCAGCTGTGTTGTGTCTATAACTCACTCCATGGGATTCCACCGAACGTTCTCCCGAGGCATCGTAAATTAATTACATTGCAACACTTTTATTAATTACAAAAATAAACAACTTTCCTGCTGTTGTTAGCAGACAGAGCTGTTTTATTTTAACATTTTTATCAGTTGTAGTATCGACTGTCTTAATGATAGACCATATCGTTTACGACCAGTAAACGATATGGTCGATTTTATGCAGTAAGTAGGTATTCCTTTAGGTAAATTAAATGTATTGAAAAAGTTTGCATTTTCCAGAATTTCGTCTTCTTTATTGCTATCTAGCTATTCCCGCGGAAGTTTACATGATGCTTAGCTCCAATTAATCATAGCGTGATCTCTTTTAGCATATTCCAAAAAAAATCAATGCTAAACAAAAGAGTTTGTAGTTGGGAAAAATGAAAAAAAAAATCCCGAGTATAAAAGGGATGGGTGGTGAAAAAGAAGAAAAGGAGATTATTTATCTACAAATATTACACAATCACAGCTTCTATTTTATTACTCAGAATATCTGAAATCTCAATATCACTTTGCGCAACACAAAAAATTAACCAGAGAATTTTTCAGAAGTCACTCGCGACGGCTCGACTGACTAATCAGTTTAAAATAAAACGTAAGTATAATTAAATAGTATGAATAATAATTTAGTAAGTACTGTTTTTCTGACAACACAGCACTGTGACCAGCTAGGGGTGAATTGTCCGTCTTTACGACCAGTATTTAAATTTCAAATTACGTTGAGTGTCTATGAATAACATGGATATTGTTTTCTGTTTTCATGCAATTGCATATAAAACAAGTGACTCGAGTGAACACACTTGTTTTGTTTTGTTTTGTATAAATAATAAATGTCCATGGGGTTTTTGTATTAACAAATACAATATGTATTTAGATCTGTTTGTCACTTACTACGTATAAAATAGAAATAGGGACAAATTTGACTTTCATATTACCGGAAAATTACAAGATTCTTCTTTGATTCTTGGTATCAGCCAATAATGTGTAGATGTTAGTCTTCACAGTTAATTAATTTGCATTGAAATAGTACTCTTGTTGAGCTGCTGAGTCGATCAATCATTACAAAGATATGGCTTCTTTAAAAACCATATAAAATTTTGTGTAATATTTTAAGTTGCATGCCAAACAAAGACAATTATAACATGTTTTCAGGATGGGTGAATGTTTGCTAGTCGTTCACGTAGAAACGAATAAATGGATTTGAATGAAATTTGGTAAAGAAATAGACTATGTTATTGTAACAGATGATACGACGACGAACAGATGACATAATTTAACGTGGAAGTACCGCTGGCAAAAGCTCATTAATTACATGTATGTATGTATATAACAATAATGTGTAAATTTAATTACGGAATTGAACCCAAAACATTTGTGTCAACGTTGATTTCTGAATGTAAGCGTATAAGAAGATCAACAAGTAGGTATACTAAACTTGTATTAAATACAACTAATATCAAATTTAATTTGAATAAGGATACGATACCTAAATACAATCGTTTTACGTAAGCAACTACATGCGTTCTATGATTTAGAAGGAAAAATATGCTGGATGAACTCTATTCAATCAGGTATTAAAGGAAATTGCAATTCAAAGAAAACACAATACTATACTAGCTATTTGCTATTTTAAAACCAAACATGTCTGTTGCTACGTACGCAATTGTAAACATACTCTAATGACTATACAAAAAACAAGAATATTAACAATAGTTTATTTATTACGGACCTTAGACCTCAATTTAGTATTCAGATGCGAATACCTAGGCGCCTGTTCGAGCTATTCACTAGGAATTGTTAATCAGTTGTGATTGTGTATGTGAACTCATGGTGATCTCTGTTGCCGGCTGTGTGGGTCTCGTTCTCATGGTGGTTTATCTTTTAGTACGAGCGAGGCCGCAGCAAACACGCGAGCGCGCTAGCTCCGCGCTTGATTGTATCACATTCGGTCGGTGTACATGGCGCGAAACGGCCGCGTCATATGCCATACTCCACGGCGTCCGTGTTAAACAAATAGTTTGTCAACTTTCGTGCTAACCTAACAGTGCCTCCGGTGCACTGTACTATCTACAAAGAAAGTTTGCATAACAACAGTGATCACTCAGTTTCACAATGTGATTAACATGGAAATATACAAATTCGTACATAATTACAACGCGTAACTTTACAACAAATCAAAATGACTCAGTGTTTTTAAAAATTAAAGTGTTTGCAGCTATAGTGTTCCAGACTATTAAACAGTGGAATGTGCGCTCTTGGGTCTGCTCAAACCAGATACGGGAGCATAAAAATAGAACAATTCTAAGATCCTGTGCCGCGGATCTGATAGTTATCTATTATGGGAGAAGCTGATGATAGCATCTATTTGTTATAAGTTACAGTGTAGATACTCGTGAGCAATATGTCGAACAGCTGGGGACGGTGGCTTACTGCCGTGGTCACCATAGTGTGCATGATCGCGGGCCTCAGAGCAGAATTAAATTGTACAGGTTAGACCATTTTATCTACTGTCTCAAAGTGGGTCATCTTTTTGACACACAAAACAGCTGTCAATTGTGTGAGTGATTAACTATCAGGTTATGTGAAGTATGCACATTAACAGTGGCCGTCTGGTCACGTTTGCAACTTATTGAGTTAACTCATTTCATACATAATCGGACTGAAGATTGCAACGCATGAAATTCTTGAAACGAATTACAAAATCCTTTTAATACACAAACATAAAACCTTTTGCACCGTTTCCTTATCTCAATGATCAGAGCCTACTCCAACTGGTGGATTGTACAATGTTTCATAAGTACCTACATGCTTATTTACCTTAAAATAACAATGAACTCACTTCGTCCGTACTTAGAACTTTTGTTTTATATAAATTATTAAACATAACGTTTATTGTTTACGTTTTGGTGACTTCATTGTTAACATTTGACACATCTGCGACTGTTATTTGTTTCGCTTTAAAATTTCGACATAAGTAAATTATAATATTGTTGTTATTGACCACATGATGGAGCAGGCACTGCGACATGTCAGCCTGACATACTTGAATATAGAAAGCTAATTTGTGTAAGAAAATTCTAACAGCATAGTGACACTTTCCCACTTTTCCGCGTATCTAATACTGGCATTTTGAATTTGTTTAATAATTATGGTCACTAATTTGTAACTAAAGCTTGCTACTTACTTATTTAGCCATTGAGGACTGCTGGATGTATATAGAAGATAGCTTTGCAAGGGTATGTATTGAAGTAATGATATCGTACGGAGCTTGGACGCCGTGTGGATACCGGCAGTGCTAACAATCGCACACCTTGTTGTAACTGATGTTATTAATATTACTAGTCACTAGTCACTAGTCACTAATATTGAAACCATACACCCGAGGCTATTCGAAATTTCTTTATAACAGTTCAACAAAAGCTGTAAAAGATTTTGTATTATAAAAGGTAATTTTGCCTAAAATCACTTAGTGTGTAAATGGAAAAGTAATAAAACGCGTTTCGTTCAGGGCTTCGAAGCTATTCAAATGCAAAATTATGTTTCATCTGGCTTCATAGACTGATAAATTGACTCCTGTTTCATACAGTTTGAAAACTGTGATAGATAACGACTTTATTGGATTGTATGGACGCAGACGTTATATTGAAAAATGTTATTTCTGAATTAAATGGAATGAGAAGAGAAAACGTGTCAATGTTCTTAGCTTATCATTTTATGTCAATTTAATTTTAACAAAACTATCAAAAACGTATCTTATTAGAATACTCGTAATTCCTGTTGAAATATTGTTTTAAGTTACTAAATTAGAATGAACGCTTAGAATAAAGGACCGTATAAAAGATAATTAATGTCCACTTAATGTCAGTCTAAAATTAAAACTTTTATATCAATTGGGTGACACTGAGCGTGTCTTATGTCTTATAAAAAAAGAATAAGGGGACACCTGTCTAACATTTGTATAAATAAACCAGATATCTGCTATGTTATTTTAAAACAGGATTATCAAGCTATTTTAGTGATTGAGTTTAGAGTTGTATTTGATTGATAAAAAGTACCTAGTACCTGTTTAATAGTGTCACATATTCTTTTTAAATGCCATTCGGTTATTTATTAGACTTATTATACGACGAAATATTGTTAGTGATGGGATTTCGCTCTAAATTACGGGACAGATAAAATAAATGTAATTAGTATTATAAAATCAATAATTAGTAGAGAAGATCGTGTGTAGAAAATGTATTAAAATGGTATTGGTAACACAAATAGTTTCTATCTTATATTCCAAACTATAACCTATCTCTGTGCCAATTTTTATAAAATTTCCTTTTCGTAGTTTTTACGTGAAGCAGTTATAATAATCCATCCATGCCAATATACTATAATGTAAGTAGGATATTACCTATTTTATTCTACTATCCTTCTTAAAAAAGTTTGTGAGAATGTATAGATTAGTTTGTTTGTTATTCTTTCACGCCAAAACGACTGGACCGATTCGGTATGTTAAAATTTGGTACGTGTAGATCGGTGATACGCTGGATTAACACATAGGCTGGTTTTAATTTACTATGCGGGCGAAGCCGCGGGCGCAAACTTTACTAACATGTTTATGTGTGCAATCAATTATGTATAAATAAATAAACAATTAAAAAAATTGCATTTGTACAACTTAACCTGTTCAAGGAATAATTTACACGATACAATGTTGAGAATAACGTACAAACAATAGATTACAAATTGAATTCATTGGTGACAATACACAAAGTCCATTGTAAATAGTACCTTATATTAGTTAGTTAGTTAGTTAGTTTTATCAAAATGAATCAAACATCGTAATAACATTTATCATTACTGGTTGAAGTTCATGTTGATATTCCTAATGAAAACACACTAGGCGGTGACCTGTCATAACCTTTGCTACCGTATTACAAATCTATTAATGTCTATTTTGAACTCTATTTGCACTTCAATAAGGTTGTATACATTATCAATCATTTTACTTTATGCATTCAAATAATTTAAAATTCCGGCGCCTACGCACCCGATGATAGCAGGTTTGGCATAATGCCATGAGAGAATATGTATCCGTTCTAATTGGAACAATATTATTGTATATCATAGCTGTTTTAACATTATATCCTACGATCCTTGAAACGTTTGGGATAGGTATCTATTTATATATAGTTAAGGTATTTGTTCTTGAGTATTTGTAGCACGTTGGTAGGAAATGTTTTTTTTTTAATCATCAATTTGTTTTTCGCGCCCAGGTTGAGGTGGGAGTAAAGAGGTCAGACACTTACTGACTATTAACCACCTTCCTCCTTCTCCTGATCCAGGCTGAGGCCATGGTACCTTATTGCGCTTACCCTGCAACTTTAGTTAAATGTGTCTTTGAGGCTAAGATGGTTACTAGTTTAAATCTAAATTATATTATTACTAGCTACTCTCACGCGGTTGATCCGCTGCTCGGCTCCATTTGATCGTAGCGTGATGTTCACTGTGGAAAATTTTTGCTATCTGTCACTGAAAAAATTTTGGCAATCCGATAAGCGGTTCCAATTACCCCCTATATACAAACTTACAAATTTTACCTCTTTATAATATTAGTACAGATTAAATGGTTTAGTAAAAGTAATAGACCTCTCCACCCAATAATGCTGGCAACACATTTGTGGCGCACTTCTATGGCATTGCATTTAAACGCCATTGCTCCATACACAGCAAAAAAACTTTATCCGTTTTTCAAAAAATCCCCATATAATTTCTAAACCCTATTTCATATCCTATTCAAGAGAAAAATTTTAATTTATAGGAAAATAGATAGAAAATGCATTGTTATCTTGATGACTAAATGTTAAATTCCTTTGAAGCGTGTGCGGGCGTTATCTACTTCGTGCATATTTGGCTCCACAGCGATCAATGTTTGTTTACTGTTAAAAATATCTCGATTGATCTATATATCGGTACTTAGAACTATATACGCTGTGAGTAAGGTGTAATAATATTGCGTCTGTTATAATTAGGTCCAGGGAATATCCAAAGAGATAGGAAGTCGTTTGTACGTCATAGTTAGTAAAGGGAATCATTGATTTGATGTGAGTGGTCGATAGATTAACTCCTGGGGGAAATACGCTAGGAATTATTGGCTTAAAAAAACTGTTTTTCAAGAACACTATATAAAATACTTTAGGTGGCATTTCTCAGTGTTCCTTATGAATATACCTCTTTCATACAAACTACCACAGCGTTGTGTTTCGCCATGAGTGAGTGAGGTTACCGGAGGCTCAATCCCTCAGGTGCATAACGGCCTTTTGGGATGTAGAGGTTTGATAATTTAGGGATTGGGTCTTTGAATCATTCATTGATCTTAATATCGGAAAAAAGAAACCGTTCCTTTTTACATTTAGGTACCTTTAAGTCGGAAGAACAAGATGAATGTAATACGGACGCTGACTCAGACCCAGACATAACAGTTTAAGTTTGTCTGAGAGGGAAGCCAAGTTAGGGCTGTCACTTTTCTAAAACTATATGGTTAGAAGAACATTTTATTTTATCTTCTCAACTTTTACAATCAATCTTAGCTATTGACAATATCTGTTATCTTAGTAAGCAAATTGGCGATCATGACATGGCTTGTTTTAATAATAGATAACTCAAAAACATTAAAATTAAATATCAAAAATATAAAAGTTAAATCTTTTAATTATTATTAAGAGTTGGTATAAATGTTATACTAGTGGATATTACATCGAATACTTTTAAATTCAAATCAATGAATTTATAAAACGGAACAGGTTTCTGTAACTTTAGACTGATTTGCATTAAATTTTATTTTTCTGTCGAGTGATTATGATCACAATGTGTTATCTGTACGTGTAATGGGTACTACTACCACCACACTTTTATGAACCATTTATACATATATCGGGTATTAAAGAACTATCCTGAATTTTAGATGGTAAGTAAAATAAATAATAATACGTTATTCTTAAAAAGAATTCATCTCAGTTAAAAGAAATAAGGATATTATTCTATTAACGCAGTTGCAAACACATTCCATTTTTGATTTCTCATAAAAATGGAAATCTCGTTTTTTTTTTCAAAAACGAATTAAAACTTTTTAGTCATTGTAAAACATTATCAGAACGTCAATTAATATATTTTGGTTGTTGCCATATGAACATAACATATTTTATAAGGACGGAAAATGTAATTAAATTACGATTGACGTTGTGTGTACCTAATTATTATCCTGTTTTACATTTCAATTTGAAATTTTGACGTAAGGTCCTGGGTATAGCACCTGTTTCACAAGGGCAACCTTACAACATCCATGCATGAGTCAGTAGCATCAATGGCGTCTCGGATGAATTCACGATAGTTTACGCGAAACGTATAGTGACTCATTTCTTGTCTGTAGGTACTCGCAGACGTTAATCATGCCATTGATATTTCATCTCCGTTCTTTTTTTAAATATAAGATTTTACGGCG